AGAAAGTCTATCAGTTTGATGTAATCCAGTCCATTAAGATCTGCGGTGCCTTATGAATGCATCCATATATAAAGTATTAGGTCCTAATGGGTCAAGATGGAGAAGCTCACTGCAGATGTTTGACCCAGCTTAATGTATCATTTGTGACAATGTTGTGCCTGAAAGGGAAATCATTGCAAATTATTTGTGGACAAAATAAGGATTATGCGATAAAACCATCAATCTGGTCATTGGCTGGAAGGCTGGGATGGGTTTGCTGAGATGGGTTTGCTGTGTGTAGCGGTAGCTCTCTGGCCAAATGCTGCGTGTACTTTCATGAGGTAACAAAGTGCTTCACAGGGGGAAAAAAAAGGCCCTACAGAAGAGAAGAGTGGGGCTTAGTGGGTCTCTCCAAACTATGACTCTGGTCCTTATGAACACTGGTAGCAATTCATGGTGGAAAGGGAGTTGTTGGGTCACCAGCACACGTTTAAGTCATCCGAAAATTGTGCGAAAAAAATTCTAAAATAGCTCACTTGAAAGAAGTGGCGCTCTTACTCATGACTGGATTGGACATAATGGCATCTGGGGAATGACTGGAGGCCTGCTCCAGTTCAGCCACGCACAGCAGAAAAACAGCATCCAACCACACCGCTGTCAAATCGAAATGGGAATCCTGCTCAACCTCTCCTCCCTGCAGCTGCTTCAGTCACTCTCATGCATGTTGAAAACAAGACTTTCACCAAATTCAACATTTCCTGACAGGTATACGATGAAACTGCGATGATGAAATGTAACCAAATGTGCCCTGGCATCCACGGTGGCAGCAAAGAGTTAACACTTACCACCAACACAAATCTCACCCTACTTCATGCACACACGCACTTGCAGCTCAGCAGCCATCAGATTAGACGCATGAACAGTAATTGTTAACTCCAATACATCACAACCATGAGTCACCCTCTGCTACATTCAACTACACACACACTCACAAGCGCACACACACACACACAAGCCAAGAGAAAAGAAGCACAAAATGGCACCTGTGTGCAGAGACAGAGGATGGCAGCGGAGCAAGTGTGAGTCTCCAAGATCAAGACGTGACAAGAATGAGCCTTACTTTTGTGCAGAAAAAAGAAGAAAAGAAAATCCTACGGATAACAAAATGATTCGAATAGACATTGGAAAGGTTAACAATCATCCACACGCACACAGACAAACGTGGGATCCCACACACAACCAATTTTCCTCCGGTGGAAAGTCCCAGACGCAAACAGCATCACACACAACAGTGGAGCAGAGCTTTGACGTCTCACCGTTTGGTCACCCATCCATGGACCAGAAAGCCAGCAGCCCATCGTCACGGCAACAGAAGACGGCTGGCCTGAGTCTTGCGAAAAATCACCAACGCTGCTGCTGCTTCCTTCAGCAGATCCTTTTTCCTCTCCCTCTTCTCCTCCTCCTCCTCACTCTCTCTTTGCCTCCCCTCCGTGTGTCTTTTCACCACCGCTCTCTCCACAGCATCTGTTCTCTCAGCACCGTACTCCCATCAGCATCTCTTCCTCACAGCCCTCTTTTCTCTTCTTCATCTGATTTGTTTATCCGTTTATCCTTGCCCTCCCTCTTACTTGACAGCTCCAGATTTGAGCATCTTGCACACACACACACATGCATGCAGCGCTGCAGTCGGGAGAAATATGCGCAGGCTGCCAGAGTGTGTGCAGGGATGGAGAGGGAAACACGCAGTCACACAGCAAAAGCGGCGTCTGATTGGTGCGCTTGCGAGAGTCATCGGCCAATCGCGCCCCGTGTTCTCCCCGTGGATGTTTTCCTCTGTGACCGGAGCTCCTCGGCAAAATTCCACGCAAGGCGCAGCCTCCACTGCAGGGATACACAGCACCAGAGAAAAACACACTTTCCAACCGGCCGTCCTCGAGCAGTTCATCATCCAGGATCCCCCCCCCCCACCAGAGGTGTGCCGGGACATGTAGTCCATCATGGGTGTCGACCGGAGATTTGCATTTCAGAGGAAGTTCAGTTATTATGGAAAGCCTGCCTGAATCGGCCCAAATGGCTTTTATTCTGCTGATAGATTTAATCTATCATCCTTTTTTCAATTTTTCTTTTAGACAAGATCAGGGAATGAATGATCTGGACTAAACTGTACTCAAAAAACCTAATCTGTTTTAGGACCCATTTTTGCACCGACCACTGCTGACCACTGCTGCTAATTAATGATCTCAGAATAATCTTTTTGATAGGTCACTGGTCAAACATAATTCAAACCCATACTAGGAGACAGGTAAAAACAGATGTCAGATTAATAAAAAAAGAAGAGACACATTTAGCCCAAATAGAGTCTTTAACAATATTAAATTATATATATTTGGGTAGAATATTTTAGGTGACTGTCATTAGTGTGTTTTTGTATTTGTCTGTACATGACCCGCATGAAGTTAATAAATTCAGAGGACAAACATAGAAGTCTGCTAAATCTAAGATAATTTAATCTGCTGGTATCTTAATATGTCACAATGTGTTCTTTTTTTAAATGACACTGACATTTGAAGATAAATCAGGAATTGTACTTTGCCAAGGCTGCCTCACTGGAAAATGTATTAAATAAATCGACTCCCATTTCAAGCAAAAGATACAGAAAACTGAATCTTTCAGTTAAATTTTTATTCCATCTGCATGATGAATTTAAAACAATTACCGGCAAAAGCCTTTTTACAGAGATATTGAGAGTTGACAGAGATCAGACTACACCCGAAATGACATCCGTCCATCTGCTAAAGGCGATAGGTAGGGTACACTCTGGACACAGATGAATGATTCAGGCTCACTCCTACGGGAAATTTAGAGTCTACCATTAACTCCCCCATGCATGTTTTTACACTGTGGGAGGAAGTTGTGCGAGGCCAGAGGGATGTCCTGCCATAACCCTGATGATGCCTGTCAGTTAAAGCAGATGCAGATGCTGCATTAAAATCAAATGTAAAAAACAGGGGGGCTATTAATGGGTCACCCACGTCTGAAAAAGAGTAAGATACTGTTTGATGTTTGCTCTGAATCGAAGGCTTAATGGACATTGCAACACTGAATGAGTGGTGGACAAGGGTCAATTTAGCACATTGTGCTTTTCAATCTCAGACCAATTGATTTATGAATTGTACATGTCAATTCTGAATGCCCTCGCTTTTAGCTAGAAAATATTTAATCTGTCAATAACTATCACTTCATAGTGGAAAAAATCCCTCTCATCTGTCTTATGATTGTACCGTTGCAGAAGCTTTGCGAGAGTATTCTACAGGAAAAGATGGCCAGAAATGTCTTGCAACTGCACAGAACCAGAAAACAGCCATCTGTGTGTCACATGTACATAAGCTTCATTGCATCTGATTCTCTCCGAATGACCCTGCTTTTACTGTTTGGTTGGCATGGCAACCAGCATTCCTGCCAAATATATGTATGTGTGTGTGTGTGTGTGTTGCCTTTTGAATTCACTAAACGGCCTCTTAAAGACATCAAAAAGCTGAATTTGTGCGCTGATGCTGAAGACTAGTGTTACTAGTGATACTATTTAAAGACAGATGTTCCTAAAGACTGTGCGTGTGCCTCACTGCTGCTGCTTCTGCTGATGATGTCGACGGTGCATCTGGATGCCTGTCGCTTAGCTCTTCCATTTCTGTACAGTGGTGCGGAGGCGGAGAGGGAAGGAAAACGGGCATGTGTGCATGTATGAGAGGTACACGCGTATCTACACGTACTGTAGAGCCTCAGCTTCGACGCACAGACCTGTCTGTGGCTAAAAATGGAAAGTGTACGAGCTGTTGCTGAGAAGCCACAAGAAGGCTTGATATGAGTGAGGTGTACATGCCTGGATTCTTATTCATACCCAGGTAGTGAGACATTACGCCTCTGCAAATCTCAGAAATTAGATGTTGAATTATCTCACAGCAGCATCACCTAATTGTTCAACTGCCACAATTGTTGATATAATCATCCCATCTTGTTATGATAAGCTCCAGGGAATTCATGATTTATGGATATTTTGGCAAGATGTTTCACTGGCACCCCTGTGAGGATCATTCTGTTACTCAGAGTATTTCATGTGAGGGTGTGATTTGGAAGGAATTAAACTTGTTTCCCATCTGTTCTGTGATTTCATAATTTACAACTTCTGTAAGTTAGCTATGTATTGTTGCATTCACATTAAACCCTTTTGTTTCTTATTTCTTTGATTAAATTCAAGATATGATACAGGTTGCTAAGACAATTATTTATAATCTTCTGTGAATCGACGAGTTCATCCATGTAGGAGGATCTTTGCTGCCTCCACATACCATACAGCTTTATTTAGATTAAACTCAAAGTTATAGCGGTATGATACTTTATTCATATTGCCTTTTTACCCCTTTTTTAAAATAAGTTACTATTTATAGATCAAACTCTGGACACACAGAAACACTAAATAAACAGTATAAGTTTAATGTTAAGCTGAAAGATTGAACATTAAAAATTGTTACTAATTTTTTCCTCCAGCAGCATTGTATAAATCCTTAATCAGTTGTAAAATGGTTAATGTGAGAGAATATAAGTGTAAATCTGAAATAATTAAAAGCCTTTTAGCTTATTAATTTTTTCTTTCATATGATTCAAGGGATAATAAGACATGACAGTGATTTAATAGAGTTGGACATGGTCTTCTTAAAAGCATATGGACAACCAGCAACCTCAAGTATTCTGCTTATTGAGAGAAAAAAGTGTATAAATATACATATATATATTGTATATATATATATATATATATATAGGAAAAGCCCTTTTTTCCAGAGACTGTATAAAGGTAAAGTCCAGTTACGGCTGTTATATGAACAATCCGTTAAATTGGCTTGATCAAGACAACGCTCAAATTTTTTTCGCGTTTTAGCTCCGTTTGTATAGAACCGGGACCCGTAGATATTCCAGCAAAAGGTTGCCCATGATTGGTCAATTGGTACAAACTCTTCTGTGATTGGTCAAATTATCAAAGTTGTCCCAGCGGGCCGCATAATACCACTTTATCGTGATAACCTTTACTTGTACGTTTACTGCTTAATTGTTTTACATGTGTCATCGGTTTGCTTTACTGGAGTGCTTGAAAGAGCCCAGTAATCGTCCCACATGTTTTATATCTCTTAAAAGACATTTACATTCAGTTGTAGCGCAATGGTCTTTTTCAAATCCTAGTTAGCTAACTTCCGCTTGATATCGCCTCTACCTAACGTTAGCAATTAGGAGCACCAGCAGAAGCAGAAACTCTGAGACACAAGGTAATTTTACAAACCAAGACGACCGGGGGGTGTTTTTTAGCACAGCTTGGTACTGATACAGAAGTTGTGATTAAAGCAGGGATGTTTGTGTGACTTGTTATAGCACACTAGCCTGTATGAAGTATCTCTAGTTAGTTGCTAACTTCATTTTACCTTAAAAATGACCCCTCTTGACGGTCATAAATGTCTCATAACCGTCAAACTTTCCTGTCATAAAGTGAGTGTTTGTTGAATTTATTTAATATGCTTTAGTTTGAATAAATCAATGAGTGTATTTTCTTTCAATGGAATTAAATATTCTTCCAGTAGGTCATTTTTATAATATGTAAATTGTCATTTGTTTTACAGATAGATTTAGGAACCTTCAGATTTATTAACAACAATTATAATAATACAGTAGAAGTACGTACAGCCTGATAAAATATATATTTATCCAGTCATATGTGTGTAATGTAATATGAACACTGACTATGACACATTTCACTGCATACATGCTGAAACACACATTCATTTTTATTCAAACTACAGATAAGTGCAGATTAGTCCAATGTATTTGTTTATCTTATCCTCTTTCTGACTTAGTTCATGTGGTGTCTGTACAGAAACCAAGTTTTCTACATCTCTGCTTTAGCTTCTGTAGCAAGTGGCATTTATCAATGATTTCTGTCATAATGGTTTACATTTATTGTGATTATTCTTGTAATCTCTCATGTTGTACCACTGACTTATACTCCATGAACACAGGCAGAATTTGGGCTGTTTGCTCATGGGCCTTTTTGTGCAAGGTATTATTGACATATATGGATAAGATCCTTTCATAGAAACATTGTAAACCAGCAGGCATAAAGGTTCATCCGATCTCCAGTTGGTTAATCTGCCTGTGTTCTTCTGCTCCCTAACAGCATGAACTGCCCCCCTACGAAGCGCCTCAGAGGCCTGAACCAGGAAGTTGTGACAACGGTGGCCTTTAATGACCCTTTTGGGGATGATGAAGAATTCACGCAGGATGACTTGGATGAAATAGACATTATTGCCTCACAGGCCATCACTTCTGCACCAGGAGGGGCAGGGGTGGGGTCCAAACCGGGAGCCCATCTATGTGAAGCAGCCCCTGGGTCCAGCTGGTCATCCTCCACAGGGCAGAGTAAACCGGGCAAAGTTACAGCCGGTCAGATCAGAGAGAGCACATTTGGGCTCAACAGGGGACATGCCGGGAAACCCTGCAGAGAGCCTCTTGGTGAGTTCAGGGCAGAAGTCTGAAACAGATCAATTCAGCTATTTTGACTCCCACTGTCAACCTCCATATTTTTCAGTTTTTTCTGTTAATGTGCATCATTTTTACGTACTAATTTTATCTTTGTCCTCGAATCGACTTGATTTATGTGAAAGTTTAACATGGATGAGATGAGTCAGAGTACATGGTATCTGCTAAAACTATGTTTCTGGTGGACTTGAAGACAGTAGTTTAGATTATGATATAACTTTGATTTCCATCTCTTTTGCTCCTGTTGTGTTTTAACAATCGCAGTAAGGAAAATGTGGAAAGTCTTGTCCTCTCGTGTGTGATCGTAAAGCTAGTTTCCACTAAAGAAGGAAACAGTTACTTTGTTCCAACATGTACATTACACAGAAGACCGTAAAAAGTACCTACCTGTTCACGGCAGTGTAAATATGTACACAAATGAGTGGTGCGTGCGTGAGCATCCTGCAGAAATGGTTTCTCCTATCAGCATGTATCAGCTCTCTCTTTTACAGGTGAAAAGAAGCAGCAGTTTGAGCCGGACAGAGAGGACTCCTACAGACACCTGCAGGCACAGCATGCAGAGCTGAGGAAAAAGGTGAGACTAAAACACAAAGACTTTAAGGCTTGCCGATCCGTAAACATTCACCTCTCGAAAGGTTAACTGTGGACTGTTGCATTAATGTGAACAGCAGATTGTCTGTGAATAACATAATAAGGCGGACTGGAAATAGTCACCGTGTTTCTGAAATAATCTGAAGAATTCAGTCTCTCAGTGACAGTTCAGTGTGTTTGTCATTAGCTGAAAGAGGTGGAGGAGGAGATTCTGTTGAAGAGTGGGGAGATCCGGGTCCTGAGGGACACTCTGAAAACAGCCCAGCAGGAGAAGGACGCCCAAAGGCAGGCCCAGATGATGGTGGAGGCTCAGAAGCAGAAGGAGCAGAGCGACAGGGAGAAGGAGCTCAACAGAAAGGTGGGCATGAAGAGGACACACCCGCCCGGCAAAAGCTAAGCCTTTACGATCCCTCTGACAGGTTTTTCTGCACACAGGTTCAGTCTCTGCAGTCTGAGCTGCAGTTTAAAGAAGCTGAAATCAACCAGATGAAGACCAAACTTCACAGCTCAGACAAAAACAAGACGGCTTCTCCTCTGCCCAGAAACAGGTCGGACATCCTCAGGAATAATGCCGGGGAGCTTTAACGAGTTTTATGTTGTTTATTGGCTCAAACTTCCGATTTGTCTTGGAATCAAAGGTTAATTAATTTGTGCTCAAAGTATTTTGTCTAAACTGGATTTTACTGTTTCAGCTGCTTTTTGGGGGGAATGTAGCGAAACCTTAAGTTTGTAGTTTAGAGGTTTTGTACTTAAACCATGCAATATGAAATATTTTTCCATTCTTCAGTGAAAATGGGACTTTCAGAACAGTCTCATGAGGATGGTGTCCCACTCGGGTGCATAAATGAGGGCTGCTTTCAGTTGGTCTTTTGCTGAGCGTACCATTTCTCAGCTTTCTCCAAAGTGCAGCCTTCATTCGTGAAGTTTGCTCTGCGGTTTGAGCTCTGCTGTTAGAAGAGGTCCACCGGCTGCCATTTAATATTTTACGACGCGGATACGGCTCGTGCTGATGCTGCAACAACATGTTCAGTATATTGTGCAGCTCTGCAGGGAATTCGCAGGGAATGGCTTGTTGGGTTTGATGGCTGTTGCTTAGCAACAGAGGCAAGAAGCTTTTGCCATAACCCAAACTCGCAGAACAAGAGAGGACAGCCAAACTGAAGACTCCTGCTCATCTGAATGTTTGGCTGTAGGCCAGCGGTGCTCAACTGCTGACCTGTAGCTCCCACAGCTGCACTGCCTCACCACACCTGGCTCACAGCTGTGTGCCTTTGTCGGGCTTTTGCCGAGCTTTTCGAAGCGGAATTCCATCCGAATCGTGGCTATTGAGGACCAGAGTTGGATCACTCCAGACACAAATAATTAGGTCTCCAGCAGAATTCTTATCTCGCCAAGCTTCTAGCAGAAAGGCAGGCATTCTGTGACCTATGCGTTCAGGCTATTAATGAAGAGGTAAATCGGTAAAGTCAGAAATACTGTAATAATCCAAATGAAACTCCAAATCATGTAGTAATTATTATATTACTTTGATTAATCATCCTGAGCTGTGGTCTCCTGATGGCCTCCTGTAATAGCAGAGATGATGAAGACAGAATAAATTGCATTGTTTGAATGTTTTACCGCAGCAGCCTAGAGCACGGTCACAGCTTTCTTTATCAGTTAGTGCTAAAATAAGACGTGAAAATGCCCTTTTTCAGGGGTGCAGAATTTATTATTGGCAGTATACCTTTAGCAGAAATTGCTCAGTTGCATTCAGATGCTGTCAACATTTACAGAGACAGCTGGGATACTCCTACCAATTAGAACCGTTTGTGGTTGTGACTGTATATTTACGCGAATGACTGGTCATACATTAAATTCATAAGCTTTTCGGAACTGTAAAGCATCATCAAGACCCCATAAAGGTGCCTTTTTATGCTCTTTGTTCATGTGTTTGGCTCTGAACTGTCAAACGTGTTTTGCTGTTTCATTTTCTCCTCTTAAACGTTGGTTGTGAGCTAAAGTGTCAGTCATACTTTCTTAAGCAGCAAAGCTCCTTTTTCTGTCCTTAGTCCTAAAGTTCTGAACAGTGGCTGCTCCTCCTCACCAACTGGAAATGGTTTCATGTCCAAGGAGGCTTTTGGGGCTCAGATATCATCCAGAACTACGCCAGTGAAAACACCCTCGAAGACTCGGCAGGACGGTGGGTCACCAGATAAATGCTGCATTAGCAGCTGTTATCATGGCCCGAACTCGCAGTTAAAGTTGCATTTATTTGTGTGTGTGTGTGTGTGTGTTGCCGCAGACAGAGGAGCGTCCAGTAGCAGACAGGAGCCTCCTCGACCAGACCCCTTCCTGTCGGTCAGACCTGCTCTCCGGCTGCACAGAGGTCAGTCACCCGGCTCAGCGCCTTCGAAAGGTCCCTCAAAAATGTCCAAATAATCATTAAATCCGTAGCATGTCAGAAAGACATTTGTAGATGTTGCGTTTGCCGGCTTTGGCTCCGCAAATGTTAGCCTCTATTCTACTAACCACAAATTTTCTAATCAAATGGAGTTTTATCAGAGAACACAACACACAGTGTACACTTAGCATGAAAAAGTCTGGGTGGCGTAGAGCCTGGGTAAAGACCACCGGACTTGTTGGATGTTGGGGACATCTCAACCTCTTAGGATCAGGCATATGTAAAACCCAAAGTGGTTCGTTTCCTGCCTCCGGTTCTTGTTCGGTGGGGGCGCATCGGCTTTAGCTCACAGTGTGCCAACGTCTGAAAAACTTTAGGCAGAGTTGATCAGGGGAGGTGTTTCCGGGTTGTTCCCCAGGCGGCGTCCTGCTCGGCCTGCTGCTGCAGCAGCCTCTGTCCCCGGGCGGCCTCGGCCTCTCCCACCTGCTGTCCATACGCTTGACCGACTCCAGGTAAAGACCCGCCGCGGCCATTTGCATGGAATGGTCCTCTTGCATTACAAAGCTCTAGTTTTTACATCAACATACCTAAACATACCATACCTAAATAATGATAATAATAAGAAGAAGAAGCATACCATAATACATGGGGGTGCAGCCAAATTCTCTCTGATAGAATTCATATATGATGCGTTATGCCCTGCAGTTTGCAGTTTGATTTAGTTCGTTTAATGTTTGTAGCATCGGGGTTAACCGCCGTGGTGTTGATTTTGGGCCGTGTGTTCAGTCAGCAGTCGGCGGGCGGTCAGCTCCAGGCCGACCTGCTGGCCGCCGCCAGCATCGACGGACGCGGAGGCCCCAGACACGCCTCCAGCCTGGTCCAGAGTCTGGCCGTGACCGGGCTCAACATGCTGAGTCAGAGCCAGCCGGCACCGGCAGCCAGGAGCAGAAAAAACAGGTAGACCGGCCCACTCCGACAGGGGAAAAGCCCAGCCAACGCCGGCACGCCGCAGAGGTTTCTGTGGACTGCACCGCCCTCTAGTGCTCGGAGATTAGAACAACAGCGTTGAAATGACCTCATTTTTACACAACATCCCGCGAGCCTTCTGCGATAACAAGCCTGCCCATTGTTTAGTTTTTTTTTTTTGTACAGCACCATATTTGAATTTCAATTGTTATATTTTCAGATTCAGGGCCTTAAAGACAGCCAAAGATGAGACACGTTCACACAGAGTTTATTTAGCCTGTTGGAACTCTGTTCTCTGTTCGACATACTGTGTTATTACAGTGTTTTCTTGCTGTATTACTGAACAGTTCAGCAGTGCTAGAAACCCCTGAAAACAAAAAGGCTGTGTGTGCAGGTCGTGTCCAGGAGCCGTCCTCCTCCTCCCCCTGCTGGACCTCCACCTGTCGCAGCTGTGCCGGGCCCTGGACTCGCTCTGCCCCCCCTCCGCCGGCGGCGGCGGGCCGGAATCCAGAGGGAGCGGCCCGGCCCCGGCTGGCTCCGCCCCCCCCGGCTCGGGGGAACCGGAGGAGCCCGGCGCGTTGGGCTTCAGCCCGGAGGACACGGGTCTGGCCGCTCTGAGGATCCTGCTGCTGCTGCTGGCCCACAGCGACGAGGTGACCGCACAAAGGGCCGAACACGGGGCTCAGTTCTGACTCACTGAGTAAGACCGTCCATCCGTGTGCGCATTTTGATGTTTGACCTGCTCCCCAGGTGGTGGAGGCTGTGCTGCTGAAGCAGAATCACAGTCCAGACAACAAGGTACAGACAGACACACTTCTTCTCGTCTCTCTTTTAAACAGTTTCTTTCATTCTTGTGTTGAGATCTGCTCTAACTATTACAACTCCTGAACACTAACCCTAATATCAACTCCTCCCAGAACGCCCTGCTGCCCTCTCTGCTGCTCCTGTGTGACGTCCGGCTGGTGGGCGGCAGCGCGCAGAGGGAGGAGCTGGTCCACAGGGCGCTGGAGACTCTGTGCGTCCTGATCGAGAAGACGCCGCCCACGCTCTCTGACAGGTGCACACACACACACACACACACACACACACACACCCGGCGGCTCGATCTGCCAGACGGCCAGAGATTTAGCTCAAACTCGTGTTCTGCACTGGCTTCCTGTCACTCAGACATTAGACTTTAAAACAGCTCGGCTTGTGTACAAGCACAGAAATACCTTTCTGACACGTTAGAGCCATATGAACCAGCTGGGACTCTGAGAACTAGGTTCTGGTCTCCTGATGGGGCCCAGAGTCAGAACTAAACAAGGTGAAGATTCATTTCAGTTCCATGCCCCTAAAATCTGGAACAATCTTCCTGAGGACGTGAGACAGGCTTCAAATCTGACAATGTTTAAATTCAGGCTAAAAACACTTCTGTTTAACTGTGCAGATGGAAATTGAATGTATTTTATCTGCACCCTTCACTTTTTTTTAATTTTCTCATTGAAGCACTTTTAATTGTCTTCTAGACGAAATGTGCTAGGCAAATAAACCTTGCCTTGGCAGAAATTGTATCCAAACTTTGACAAATTAATAAACTTAACATTGCCGATGCTCAGAAACCAAAGACGGACTCACTCAAGATTTGCTTTCTTCGATTAATCCCAACAACTGCCTGAAGCTTTTAAGGTGATCTAAACACCGTTTTCACACTTGGCTGAGTCATGAAGACAAACAATGCAGCGCTCAGCAGTCTGACTCACGCAGGACTCTGCCACTTACAGATTATGTAACCACTGTAAACCCAGCAGAGCTTTAGTCTCCGTGGTACCCATCACTGTTAGAGCCCAGGCCTCTGCTTAGTCAAAACTTAAACAGACTAAAATAGCAGCGACCGGGCAAACAAATGTGTCAACAGAGGAACGAGCGCAAAGCCACTTCACTGACTTCTATCCCGTAGGTTTCAGTGACGTTAAACTCTTTATTTCACCACAATGTGCTAGTCTGTTTGGATATTTCTTTACACTTTTCATTTCTGTCCTCATGCACATGGATATTTTACTGAAGCACATGTAGATATTTAGTTTTTTTTTTTTATATTTGGAAAAAAGGCAGCTGTTTTTTCCTTTTTTTTTTTTTAAATTTATTTATTTTAAAGAAAATGCTTCTCAAAATAACTTGGTAATTTAGTTTTATTTGCCTCCTGAGATTTCTCTGGAAACTTTGATCCTTTTCTGGCCTGAGCGTGCTTAGATTGTTCTTTTCTGTTTTTGTTTTTTTTGTGTCTTTTAGGTTGCAGAGCGTGTTGCCGGTGGTGTGTGCGTGCGTGTCGGCAGGCAGCCGGCCAACGACCATTTCAGCGTGCGTCTCTGTCCTCACCTCCATGTCCGACCACCGGACGCTGGCGGTGCAACTCTGCTCTCAGCACGGTTAGGCTCCGCCCCCACCAGCCTGGAATTCTCCCTCATTTGAAATCACACGCATAGCTGTTGTGTTGCCTCTCGTTTTTTCTCACCGAAAAAGTCTGAATCTTAGTCTTTTTTTTTTTTTTTTTTTTTTTTTTTTTACTTTAGACCCCTGTGTTTTCCTGAAGTTGTTCCAGCTGATCAGAACCAGAGCGGATAATCAAAACACGCACACAGACTGGACTTCACTGGGTCTGCAGGTAAAACGTGCAGGAATGTGGATGGAAGCAGCAGAAACCAGGATGCTGGACAAAAAAAAAAAAAAGAAGAAAAAAAAACGTATCTCTCTGCGCACATAAAGTCACATTCTGACCAACTTTAGCTGACTTAGTTAGAGCAGATTTCCCCTACATGGGATTTGGTCTCAGTTGGAAGGAGAAGATCCTGATTAAACTAATGGGATTCAAAAAACTGGTGAACAGTGCCATGTTTTTCAGAACCGTATAGTGTCACATGATGTTGGTTTGGGTGTAACTCGGATGTAAGCAATGGCAGCACAGACACCGACGGGTCTTTTTCTACACTGGAGAGACGTAATGTTTGAATATCTTTCCACTTTCTCCACGTTCTCAGGTGGTTCGTCTGTTGAACAGACTGACCCAGAGGGCAGAGAGCTGGACGGCCAGCGTGCAGGTCGCCTGTCCCTGTTATACTGAGGTGAGCTTCTCTCTCTTCCTCTTGCAGAGACGACTTAGGCTCTCTGCCTCACACGGGAGCACAAATGCCACAAATTTCTTTTACAGATGGTTCAGATAGCGGTGATCATTTTCCACCGTCAGTGGCTGGAGCTGCGTGGCTCCCAGGAGCCGGCGGGCCCCCGGCAGAGCTCCGCCCCCTGCTGGCCGTTGCCGGGCGGCCCCAAGCCGGCGCTGCTCCGGGAGTGCCTGCTGCTGCTGCACTGGCTGCTGCTGCACCACGCCAGCTTCTCTGAGAGCTGCCGGCCGCTGCTGCACATGTACGACCAGGTGATCCCCGCCGTACGGGACACGCTGCGGAGGATCCCCCGGCTGAGCGAGAGCGAGGGTACACACACACACATCTCATCTATGAAAGACACGCTGTGACTGGAGCAGACCTCCAGTAGAAGGGGGATCTTTTTTTAGATCCTGTTCAACCAGTTTTTGCTGGAGCCACAATTGGAATTAAAAAAGAAAAGTTAAACTTGATTTTGAATTTATTTTTTTTAAAGAAAATCGAAAGGTCTGGGTCGTGGTGAAAGCCTTGACCTGTGTAGAAGTGTGCAGTTTCTGGGAGGGAGCTCTGTCACATCCCAGAAATAAAGCTCCTCTGTTCACAAGAATGTGCTGAAATTCCTCCAATCTGTTTAGGACCAATCAGCAGCCACGGCACATTTTTGCTTCTGAATATTGCAGCAGAAAGTCGTCACAGCAAATCTCTATCCCAAAGAACTCAAATCAAATCAAATTTTAGCAGAAATTATTTTTCTATTTTTTATTTATTTATATAAATGTATAAAGTGACATTACATCTTATGTAGATTGTTTTTGTCTGTCAGAGTTGGCCTTGGAGGAGATCTGCCGCTCTGAGGGCGACGAGGCCGAGGACATGGACACTGACGCTGGCCCCTGATTGGCCGTCTCTGAGACCAGATGTAACGGTTAAAAAAAAAAAAGAAACTCCACAACAATTTACAAACTGCTGATCAGATGCTTCTGCAACGACGACAAGACAAAGACTGAAATGTCTGCGGCAAAAAGGTCTGACAGATGTGGTGGAGGCTGACACCAGAATCATCATCCTACTGGATTTTCACTGTAAAAAAAAAAAAAGCTGTCAGGACTCATGGTCACCTCTAACCACTTCAGTCACAGTCATGGTTCAGGTTTTTTTTTTTTGTTGATGCACAGCTAGAGACTGAAATACTTTCAGGAAACATTTCCTCCTAATGATTTTATAGACTATTGCCTAATTCATAATGTCAGTTTGTTCTTTGTATATTTATACAAAATGAAATAAATAGATATTCTGTATTGATGTTGCCTCTTTACTTCCAGGCAATAAGTCTGATAACGCCTACTTTACTTATTTGTTTTAAAATGTTCAATCAGAAACTGGCCAGGCAGAAATAAAATCAGTACAAAGCACATTTTGAATAATTTTAATTCAAAGAAAATACTTAAGTTATACAAAAGTGCAAAAATAGACAACATACATGCAGCATAATATTGTTACATGTTAGTATGTGATGAACTTTCAGGTCAAAACAGCAGGAGTTAATAATGGAACCGACTAAAATCGCTTCGGGGATGAGAACAATTAGAAAGCGCCTCCATCTTTGCAGCAAACCGAACTGAAGTCCCGATCACACCGCACTCAAAAAGCCAGCCGATAGGGTGTATTTTTTGGGGAGGGGCAGAATTAGCTTCAGTCAAGTGACTCAAGACTGAATGCGAGGAGTAATTTTAGTCCGGTTATCTCAAGATCACTATTATAAGTCCACATGCGGTCCCTATAATTTAACCCATGACTGAATTACACACTTACTCTAAAGTAGCAGATCTAGTTTCCTCATGATCAGAAATACATTTCTGCTTTACAAGTCTTCAGGTCATTCCATCGTGTAGACAGAATGTCCCCAAATCGTTGCTGACGGAGCCTCACAAGAAAACTATTCACTTGTTTATGTCTTTTTATGAGAGCTCCAAAAACAGAAAGGAAATGCCAAAGGTTGAGCTTTGATCTTGAGATAACGTCATTTGTGTGCACATCTGGTGGACGGGGGACGCTTGCTTTTGAACTCAAAATCCTGTTTTCTGACCAGTGACCGGATCTGTCTGTGCATCAGTGCAAGGAGCGAGAAATGTAAACGCTGAGGTGAAAAAGGTGCCCCATTTAAAGCTCCGTCTCCTTCACAGTCCACGTTGGGGTTTGTTTCTGTTCACTCAGATGTTGTGTTCAGGCGGGGGGGGGGGCATAATCTCATTTCTGTTCACGGCGTCTGACTGTGCCACTTCTGTCCTGCTTTAACCGGAGGGATGCACCCGAACACGCGTCTGGTTTGAGGCCGGTTGAAACCGGCTGCTTGTGGGACTCTTTTGGCACGGGGGAGGCAACCGGGGGCGAGTCACCTCCGTCTGGAGGAGGCGGGGCATAAACGGAGCCCGCTACGGAGGGGAGAAGGCACCCGAGGTTCAAGTAATCCAGGATTGTGTCGTCTGTTCGACTGCTCGTCTTGTCTACGCTTGTGAGGCCCGTTTTGGCTTCTAGCTTTAGCTTTGTGCTTGGGTGGACAGCTGTTGTCTGAGGGTGGAGGGTCAGTGTGGGTTCTCGCAGAGTGGGCGTGGCGGTCAGGGCTCGCCGCTCCACGTGGGCACCACCTGGTCCTCGTCGTCCGGTTTCCCTGGCAGCGCGGGGTTGTGGGCGTCGTGCGTCTTGGGCGCGTTGGGGTGGGCGGCGTGCGCGCTGCTCATCCAGGGGTGCATCTGCAGCTCGCCGGCCTTCAGCCGCTCGGCGGGCGACTTCCTCAGCATGCAGCAGACCAGGCAGCGGGCCTGCGGCGACAGCCAGTCCGGCAGGCCGAAGGCGCCGCGGCGGATCTTGGCGAACAGCGCGGCGGGCTGCGTGTCCTGGAAGGGGTAGCGCCCCACCAGCATGGTGTACAGGGACACCCCCAGGCTCCAGATGTCGGCCGCCAGGCCCGAGTAGGAGCCGCTGCCGTTGGTCAGCAGCTCGGGGCCCACGTAGGCGGGGCAGCCGTGCCTGTCGGTCAGAGAGTCGTCGTCGTGGCTACCTCGCAGGACCACGCAGTCGTTGAGGCCGAGGAGGACCAGACGCGTCCTGCATCCAAAAAGAAGAATGACTATTTTTACATCACTTAAGGCTTTAAAAACCCTTCCCACACTATTCCCACACGCTTTTTTGAATACGTTTTAAATGTTACTTTTCATATTCTGTATATATTCTATGTTTGTAGCCTTATGTTGGTTTCTCTAGCAGATTATTCTCTAGCAAAGAATTAGTTTTACAGTGTATTTTGGGCAAACACTGACAATTCCTAGTTGTATTTTAGATTGTGTGGACTAGAGCCCCTGTAACCAGGAACTAAAGGGAACTTAAGCCTGTCTGACTCTCGCTTTTTGGTTTGTTTCTTTCAGAACGTGCGTTCTGTAGCTTCACAGTGTTGGTAGGGGCGGGGGCCTCACCTGTATCGGTCGGTGAACACGAAGCGGCGGAGCTTCAGGTCCCGCAGGATGACGCCGTGGCGGTGGCAGTGTGCCACGGCGCTCAGCATCTGGGCGAACAGATGCCCCGCCTCCTCCTCGGCCAGCCGCTTCCTGCTGCGCATGTACGCGTGCATGTCGCCGTGGTGGGCGGGCAGGAAGACGTAGGCGCTGCCCTGCCTGATCACCACGTCCAGCGGCCCGCAGATGTTCTCGTGTTTTCCCACGCGGTTGTAAGCTGCCAGCTGTTCCTGGTAGCCGAGCAGGGGGAGCACCTGTAACCACGACAACCAGACTGTACGTTTTAGTAGGGTTTTTTTTTCTAGATTCTGACAGCGATTTTAAATACAGTAGAACCTCTACATATGAATTTAATTCGTTCCAGGACCCAATTCGTATGTTAAAATAGTTGTATGTTGGTTCAAATATTCCCATAAGAATACACTGTAATTCCTATCATTCGTTCCACAGCCCAAAAACCTACGATAACTCCTTAATAAATACTGCAGATAATTACACTAAGCAATAAAACAAATGCATTATATAAGAGAGATGTAAAAAGAAATCAATCATAAAGAAATAGTCAATAAAATAGTTTTTATTGGCACAGGGACGTCAGTGTGGAGGCAGAGGTGGAGACTGAGATACAGAACGTAGCTTAACTTACTCTAACTTTCACTACGTGAACTTTATACTACCTTATCTTATTCATTTTTATATTTTTTTCTATGACTTTGATGTCATAGGATTTTGCATTTTGTTGAAAATTGACTTTGGTGTCGAATCGAATATTTGATCAAATTGGACTTTGTGTGTTGGAAAATTCGTTTGTTTAGGCGATCGTAAGCAGAGCTTTCTACTGTATTTGGGCCCTTTAATAGCAGCCTGTGTGACAATGCCGGAGCGGAGGCGCTGTGCGGGTTACCTGGCAGGTGTACTGCTGCTGCGTGTGCGCGTGCACGGCCCGGTAGGTCTCCTCCCGCTCACAGCGCTCGGACAGGAGGTACGGCCCCACCCTGGCCGGGGGCTGGCGCTGGCCGGGTCTGGGCTGGGAGCTGACGGGGCCGAGGCACGCCGCCAGGCCGGGGGAGGGGGGGGGCGGGGCCAGGCGGGCGTGCTTGCGTTTCAGCAGGTTGTCTTGAGGCTCGTCCAGCAGCCGCTTCAGAGAGGGCTGAGAGGTGGTGGCAGCCATGGCCGTACTCATCTGCAGGAGAGGAAACGTGAACCCCGGTTAGTCAACGCTTCAGCAGGCTACACTTTCATTTTCCATTTGTCTGTTTGATGACAAACAACTTCACAGAAGTCCTCATCCTGACACTCAGCTGATAAGTGATAAGAAATAGCCATGATATCTGCCCACAAACGGAGGAAGTTGACCCCGTAGATGATTTGACAGTCACGGTCACCTGACTTTGTCAGAGTACTTTCAGTTTCTTTATGAGACAGCTTTTGAATTGAGCACCGAACCCACAGCTCCTGAAGCCTCATTTTTGGCAATGAGGTAAACAAACCATCGAAAACTGTCTGAAATGTAAAAGAGTATCAAGTCCATCTGTAATTAGACTTTATTTCAAAGGAGAAAAAAAAAGGGAATTTTCTAAGATTTCAAGATGCCCATTGATCAATGTGACTTTAAAGTAATCTGAACAAGCTTCTACACTTTTCTTTACAGAATCTACGAGGAAACCATTAAATATAAATGGACTTCAGTGGCCTGCAGCTGGTCAGAGGCAGCAGCGCGAGCGCCCTCTGCTGGCCACAGCAGCTCCCTGCCTCTGTAACGGCAGCGCGCGCAGCGTGGGGCTGTGGTGGTTTCACGGCATCCCTACTGCTCACGTGTTGCTCAGCCGGCGTCTATAGGCTCCATGATGCAACTTCCTGTAAGCTGACAGGCACCTCAGTTTTCAGATCGTTGCATCAGAGCACAACAGTTTAGAGTCTGAAAACCCTTTTAAATATCGCCGAGGACTGCGCGCGCTCTCGGTGGGGGGTGGGGGGGGGTTAGTGGGACAAAGTTTTCCAGTCACCTGGCTGACAGCTGGCGGAAAATGCCGGGGGCCAAACCCCCGCTTTCCCCGATGCTGAGACATCCTGAGTCACCTCGTCGCCACGGCAACGTCAGCCTCCCCAACAAACATGAGTCAGGCTTTGTTTTTTTTTTAAATATACCATCATTCACACCCGTCATTGTGAAACTACAGCTGAAAATAAAACTGCTGAAATCCTCAAATCTCACAACCAAAAAGAAGAGAGTCCCATCTGAGACTTCCTCTGAAGCATCCCTGTGTGTGTCATTTTTTTCTTTTTTTTTTAAGCGTGGAATAAAACTTTCAACTCTCACAAAAGTTTTCAAAATAGATCTCTTTATCCAGCTCTACGTTCAGTAACCTGAGGAAGCGTTTCTGACCCCGGACCTCTAAGCACACCTGATTCAAATAAACGGGACGGCTCTTGAGCTCTGCAGGTGGACGGAGACCCAGAGGGACACCTGGACAGAGACTTTCAAAAGTTGGGCTTGTGGGAAAGACAGAAAAGCCTTTAGATTAATTCAAAATGCTGCTGAAGCTTAAGAGGCAGTTGAGAAGATGTCCAATCCAATCATTTCTCATCCGAAAGGCTTCTTCAGAAAGTGCATGTTGGGTAAAGTGGGTCAGTCTTTCATGCCTGTAGACTGTCCAGCTCTCTGTTGGACACCCCCACCCCCAGAAACACACAGAAGAAGTGTTTCAGATGAGAAAACAAAACGTTCTCAGATATGAAGAAATCCTGTTGTCTTCACTAAAGCGTCACAAAACTAGGACTCTCGACTTTTTGTGTAGAAAAAAATGTTCCACAAACTGACTCCACATCCGCTGCAAGTCCTCATAGTTTCACTTTCGGCTTATGTTCAAGTTGTCAACACCAAAACTCGGGGAGAACACGTGGTGATCATGGAGAAATCTGCTATTTTCCTCTCACATGAACGAATGCCGACCGTTCCACTTTTTGTCAACCAGTTGACTGTGAACACATTGTGAAACTCTTAGCTACACCAGAGACTTTAGGTAAACTTTACATTCTCTCTTAACACTAAGCGTCGTTGAGCTCATGTTTATGTTTGTGTTGTTACTCATTCATCAGCCTGCGTAGCTTTTATCTCTCTGCACACACTCACGCTGCTCTAAATCCTACAAGTCCTTAAATCAGTTTGTAACCTCAATTTCAGGGCAGATAATCCACTTAAACCTGACCCCGTTTAAGTGAAACATTCAGGGTCGCCTTGTTGACCTTTTCACCAAAGCTTTCCGCCATGTCGCATGATGTTCATCACATAAGCTCAACCATGACAGACAAAAAAAAGCAAGAAAAAGGACATGGGGTTGGAATAAAACAAATAATAAGTTAGTAAGTTGGTAAGTTTATAAGGTTTGCTTGCTGTTCGGGGTCTTTTAAAATCATACCAAATCGATTTCTCCCTACCTAAACTTATAAAGTCATATAAAGTCAAAATTTAGTGTATTCTGTTCAGACTTATATGAATGCAGTGTGTATGTGATTCACTATCATTTCCACCCTGACAACAATCCCTATGCTCAACAGGTACAGCGCGAGGATGCTGCCTGCACGTGAATGCACCACCACAAATTACAGACCGTTTCAAAAAACTAAACAAGAGTTTTGTATCCAAACTGTGTACATTTCAAGCCACTTTCGTGGCGGCTGTTTTGTAACTTTGCAAACAACCTGAGGATCCCTCAGGTCAGATTCTTACCTTTTCGAATAACAGGAAACCAGTAAAAACAAAAATAAGCCCAGCAAAGTCACAGCGGAGCCGTTGGTCGCTTCACTGTCCGTCGGTAGAAAAACAACAGCCCTGTCCTCTGTGGCTGAACTGGGCTGGGCTGGGACTGGTGGCCGTGACACTGGGAGAACTGGCGGTGACGTATTTGCTTCTTTAAATTGTCCCGGTTGCGCAACCTGTCGTCAGCTGGTAGTTTGGTTGTTTTTTCCCTAAAGCTTCCTCCGTGCACTCAATTTAAAAAAGAAAAGACTGGCGCTATAATTGAAAAGTGGACAAAAACGAAGCCGCTGGTTCGAAAACGGACAAAAAAAAAAACGGACCTGTTTTCTTTTGCGTTAGTCCGGAGCTAAAGTGAACAAAGAAAGGGGTCGAGTCGAGTTCGTCCGGTTTGCTTTTCCGTCCGCTCGCCGGGCTGAAAAAAAAAAAAATGAAGTCGGGTCTGGTTCAGGTGTCCCGGCCCCTGGTCTCCGCTGGCCCCGCTGGTCTCCAGAACTTTCAGCCGGACTGAGGACCGACTCCCGGTCCGTTTGCTCTGGTTGTTTCCTCCCGCGCTGACGTCACCGGGAGGGGGCGGGGCTTCAGGTGTTGCAATCCTGAGCCGATCAGTCGTCAGACCGGCGGGCAGAGCCCAGGGCACTCCTCACGTTTGTTTACGCGTCCCGCCTGTAGCTAACGCAGGCCGCGTGTCAGGCTTCCTGTGCCCTGACACAATTCCCCCTTCATCCTGCTTAAAGAACCATCTGTGTCACAATCTAAATCAGTAAAACTTCGGACGGAAAACGCACTTCAAACGTGCCATGCTGGAGACTAGTGTGGGACTCCACACAAAGTTCCAATGTCGGTTCCGGTCTGAAAAAAGGATATAAGGCCCCAAAAGCAGCAGTAGCAACAGATTTATGCTGTGTTTTTCATATAAACATATTCACACAATGGTGTAAATTTGTATCCAGTCTCAAAGCAATCAGCTGGACTGTTAAAAGTCCGTTTTGTTCAAGACTTGACAGTATAATTAATTAAAATCCTGCAAATATCCTGCAGATATTCACACAAAAATCCTGCTAAATGTTTAAAATAATGCAGTGTTTAGGACTGAATTGTAGATTGTGTTCCTGGTATGGCGTTTAACTAAACAATTAACCATAAAACAGGGGCATCATCATGTTTATATGCAAAATACATTAAAACAGCAGTTATTGACCAAATGGATGTACTTTACCAAAATAAAGTCGGTAGAAAACATATCAACAATTTAGTTCCAAAAGCTTTCAAACCAAATTAGTTACAGCGGTATCATCAAAATAACATAGCAAAGAGTTTGACATGGAATAAAATGAAAAGAAATACCTTAGAATAATTGGACTCCAGGACCCATTGTGTTCCTCTGTCATAAATGGATGAACCATTGAGGGCACCACCCCTCATGTAGGGGCAGTTTTGTCAATAATTCAGGACTTACAGCTGTAATGGGCCTGGATTCTTCAGCCTTGACCTCACAGCAACAATCAAAACAAAATGACCAGGGGGGCTTTTCAACCCTGGTCTTTGAGCCACGCAGCCTCGCACATTTGTCATGTTCCCCTGCTCAAACACAATTCAAATAACTGGGTCAGCTGTTAAAATTCTGCTAAGGACTGACGAAGATCCAGCGATCTGAATCAGACGTGTGGGAACAGACGAACATGGAAAAATTCAGGGCAGTGTGCCACCAGGGTCTGGATTGGGAAACACTCACATGCAGGCACGCAAAGCAGTGAGAGATGGCACAAATGCTCTCACCCACTGAGTGAATTATGAGCTAACAATAAAAATCTGCCCTTAAAAATTCACAATGTGCCCATAGAGAGACGAAAATACTGTTTCATGTTTGTCTTTAAAGCAGCATCCAGAAGCCTGGCAAGGACTAAGACTCAAGCATCTGGTTGGGATGTGACTAAATACAGAATGATGTCGGGAAAGGGAGGAAAAGTTATGACCTGAGCTATGTGTGTCTTGCATAAACTTGAGTGTCATCATGTGTTATCATGTAGCCTTCATTAGCTCGTAGCTCGTAAATGTCTAAAATTATATGACTCATTCAATCTGAAGCAAGGCTACTGACATGTTTCAAAATCCACTTTCCAAATGAAAGGTCATATTTGACTGTGGTACCATTTTATAAGCTTCTTGGAGCCAGGTGTGGTAGAGTTTTACCATCTGTTACCGAACGGCCTCACAAAATAAAACAGGCGTTTGTTCACTTGAAATCATTGAGATTTTATTTGGAACACTTTTCTGGAAATTTACCATTTCATTTTAAGGACTATAAAGGAAAAAATACCTAAATCATTTTTTTTTAAAGGCAGATGTGAAACCAACCCATTTGATCTTGTTGTAAAACACAGAAAAAGTTTCTGTCAAGGACAGAAAATGCT